GATTATTTCTACTGGGCTTTGGTTCACCCTATTTGGGGAAATCTATTTTTAGGTACTGGTGATATGCCTCTACGAAGGACTTAGCTTGGGAGGACGATGGAGCTGAAGGCTCAGTTTTGTTCTTTTGTACTTTTGTTTAAGCTAAGGGCTTTATTTGTATTGAGCTTAAGACTCACTTTTGATGTACCCAAGACTTGACTTGGAAAAATGTAAGCCATTAGGGCATATGATTATCTATTTAGCTTTTATTACATTATTAATGCTGTAGATTCAGGATGTACTATTTATGAATATAAATCGCATTGTTACCTTTTTTTTTACAATCGAATCTCATGTAATAGAAAAACCTCACACTCTAATTCATATTGTTATTTATTTATTGTCTTGGATGGTTTATTGCATTTATTTCAAGGCGTTACAGTTGTAGAAACTTTTAAGGCAGGTTTGAATACTTTGGGTACATAGAAAGTGGTTATTACCAAAATGGGTTTGTCTCGCTTGGCAAAGATGTTTGTATGTATAGTATGGTCATGTGAGAATCAAGTCCAGGCCTAAATAGTTGAGGCAAGGCCGTCATTCTTAAAGTGAGATTTTTTTCGGTCGAATCCGAACAAGCTTTTGGGTGATCCCAAGGAGCTACTAAAGGCTGATGAGTGGCTAGAACAGATAGTTAAGACGTTTGAGATGCTTAGCATCGAAAAGGACGGACTGAGAGTGACCCTGGCATCCTTCCAACTGAAGGAAAATGCGGGTCAATGGTGAAAGTATGCGCGTGGGCGTATTGGAGTGACTTGGGAGGCCTTTGTCAAGCCTTCCAGGACAAGTTCTTACCTTCCACTGACTAGTTTTCTCAACTCAAGCAGTTGAGCACATCGGTGGCCGAGTTTGAGGCCACATTTACCAGTCTGTTGAGGTTTGCATCGTAACTCATGGCACCGTTGTTTAGAGTTTGAGAAGAGATTGAGGATCGGGCTCATGTTCAAAGTGGCCGGGTCAATGATTAGATATTATAGATGCCTTGTGGAGGCGGCGGCTCACCTTAAGACCATGATGCAGATGGATGAGGGGTTCTAGAAAAAGTCAGAATGTTTAGGGGGACAGTAAGAAGTAGAGGGGTTCTAACCCACATGTAGACACCCCATTTTTGACCGACCTTAAGGCTCAGACGTCATCGATTGAGCACTCGGTGATAGTGCATGTTGGGCTTATTTCGAGGTTTCAGAGTTTTGGCTAAGAGCCTTGCCTCTGGGCCTTTGAACTCTTAGTGCTTTGGCTCGGTTTGTGGACCGAACCTTCTTTCTCTTCCCTGGAGGGAGGGAGTGATCTTGTAGACCATCTCTTTGTAGTCGTATACCACTTTTTGTAGTCGTAGACCACTTATCCCGTTTGGAGACCAGTTTTTGATTTTCGGAGCCTTCGGCCGCGTGCCTTGTCTCGAGACCGCTTAACGTTCTCCATTTGGCGTGATTTTTGAACCATACCTTGTTTCCTTGGCCTAGAGGGCCACTGTGGTTTGGGAGACCACTTTTGTGGTTGTAAACCACTTTTGGTGCTTGTTAGCTAGTTTTCGAGGCTCCCGACTGCGCGTTTTGCCTCCCGAACTTTCGTCTTGCATCCGTTTTGGTTTGTTTTTGGTACAAACCTTGTTTTCCTTGTTTGGAAGGTGGTACAAGGGTAGGAGACCATTTCTTTCCCTTGGAGACCACATTTAATGTGAATGAAATGCACAAAAACACATAATGCCTTAACCTCTATCATGTTTGATCAAGAGGGTTGGTGACCGAGAATTGAGGCACATTTTATCACTTCAAGTATGAAACGTCCCTCGTTTCTCGTGTTTGGACTAACACCTAATCCAAACACAATGCATGCAACTCAAGCATGCAAACATACAATGTAAGGCATGCATACACAATGCAATGCAACAACATGACATACTCAATGCAATGCGATTATGGCCTACACAATGCGAACAAGAACATAGCATGCACAATGCGATGTAACATAGCATACACAATGTTCAATGGACTTAAACCAAATGTGGACGGA